CTTTCAGGAAAGGTGACACTTGTCTGTGTGGTCCTCACTGATGCTGTGGTCCTAGTGACCTGCTGCTGGTCCAGCGTCTTTCCCAAGGCCACTCATCCCTGCCTCCAGCCTCCGAGAAGAGCCTGTTACTGAGCACACATTCTCGGTGAGAGTGCACAGGCACGGAAGGGGTGGCCCAGGGCTGGGTTTGCTCTTTATTTAAGGATGGGACTGCAGCACTCTTGCAGACTCCTGCCCCTCTAGGATTGGAAGGAGGCTGGATTCCTGGCCTCTGATTCAGGCAAGGCATCCAGAGACCAAAAGGAGAACTGGCTTGTCCATCCTCCAGCCTCCTCGAGACCATCCCTTAACCTTGGCTTTCACCATTTTGTGTCTCCAGGGAGCCAGTGCCGTGGGGTCCTCAAGCTCCGGGCTTGACCTGGCCAGAGCCAAGTGCCTGCAAATGCACTGTCGCAACCCCTCACCTCTCAGTATGGTCCATCGGGGGAGGCGGCTTCTGGGTCCCCTCCTGCTCCTGCCGTTCCTGCTGTCCTCGTGGCACACGGCTCAGCACTGGGCCCCAGACAAAGGCCAGCAGCAAGCAGCATCCCAGCACAAGTCCCTGTCCCCAAGAGCCCATCTTCCCACCGTGCCCTAATGGAAAAAAGATAGGGAGCAGGCATCTGGTTAAGAAGGAGCTCCTCAGAGACACAGCCAAGGAACCTGCGGTGTCATCCAGCCCCAAACGCTATGAAATACGCAGACAAGCACGCATCCAACACACCCATACACTTATACATGCACAGTCACCTGTTCACGTACACTCTATCACCAGAGGCTTAGCCACTGGGCCGGCATTGAGGTCCCACCAAGCACAGTGCTGTCAGTGCCCACCCGGCCTCTCCAGAAGCCCTGAGGATGAGCCCCAAGTATGATTGCTTTCCACCTCTTTCAAGGCACTGAGCAAAATTCTAAATGAGTTTTGACCCATCACCATCTGTGACAGACGAAGCCACACTGGTCCTTGGGAGGGATACAGGGAGGGAGCATAGCAAGGTGGCTGTGGTCTGCTTCCTGCCACCAAGGGGTGTACAGCAAGTGTCCTCCAGCAGCTAATTTAGGGAAGGTCACGGTTCATCCAAGCCAAGCCCACTCTCCCACTGATGGTGCTTTTGTTACAAGCCTGGGGTGGAAGCCTCCTCCTCCAGGATCCAGACAGTCCTTCTAGAAAGAGGTGAGTGTTGTGGGGAGGAGATTCCAGTGAGCCCATTGCAGGTCGCAGTGGGACTTGAAATCGTCAAAGCAGCCCCTTGCTTTCTCCTGCATCACCCAGGCTGCCTGGGCAGTTGGGTGGTCCCTGGGCCTGGGTCTAGCATGCTTGGCTGTTCCGGGCAGGCTGCAGAGGACCGTGGTTGATTCTAAGCCTCTCTTATTCACCAAACATAAAGTTTGACACCTCAAAGGATTCATGAGGACACCTAATTCAATGCTCTCTGCTACCTAGAGAGTAAATTGAGGCCCAGAGGACCGAGAACCACCCTGTCTTTCAATTTCTCCAGTATATTGAAGAGAAATTAAAATCCCAAGATGGACTTCACTTTGTCAGTAATCTCAGACCCAGATGAAGCCTGCCTTTGACTCATTCTGGGGAGCCGTGGTATCCTCTCTACCTTTCCGTGGCTTGGGTTTCTTGGCTATAGCTTTCTTTCCACACATGAGTGAGCTCACTCCCCTAGCTCCAGAGACTTCTGGCATCTCTCCTCTCTGGGACCCCATGCCCACCCACAAGCTGTGGCCATGCCCAGCTCTCCTGTGGAGCCTCAGTGTGCAGGCCGTGAGAAGAAGGCTGGCACAGTTGCACACATACCTACTTCAGCTTCCATGTCCCTTCTGTGTCCCCCGCCAGCCACTGCAAGGCTCCCACCTCCAATGACCAGCCAGCTATCCTTCCCAAGCATCCTGGCCCAGGAGTTTCCCAGTGACCAGCCCCATGAAGTTTCCCGCTGCCTTACCACTTGCCAAAGAAACTGTGCATGTGTACATGTATGTTAATTTATAAATAAATGTATATCTGAATTACCTATTTATTCCATCCATCCATCTACCCATCTATCACCTCTCCAGGCTCCTGGGCAGGGCCTTAGGACCCTCCCTGGGCTGACCCCACTCTGCATATCCCTGCTCCTGTGGTCCAGCTCCTGCTCCTCCAACTGTATAGCGCACACCAGGAACACTTGTGAAAGTGCAGCCTGTGACTCAGTAACTCCAGGGCAGAGTTTTGGGGTTCTGGTGCTGCCTGTGTTCCTGGAGTGCTGACCCACTTTGTGTACCAGACTGTAGACACACCCCACACTCCTACTGCCCGACGCCAGCCTGCATTCTTCCTCCTTGGGCAGGACCACCCTTTGTCCTCCTTTCTCTACTGATGACCAGGCTAACATGACTGACTCCTGCACTAGGCACTGCACTTAGCATCACTTCAGGGAATCCTTACCATCCTGTAAGTTAGGGTTGGGTGTGAGAACGCTCCCTCTCCCCTCATTTCAATCTCATCAGAGACCTCATGCAGTCCTGTGGCAAAGTGTTTAAGGAGGAAATATTCATTTGTTATAATATCAAATCTATAAATGAGAAAGCAGAGACTTAGAGAAGTGAATTATCCTAGGACTCTCCAATTGTTAGGTGACTGGATGCACTTGAACCCAGACAGCTGATCCCAGGAGACCACAAGTCCTGCCTGACCTGTCAGGACCCCACGCCAGTGTGTCACGGTCTTCCTGCAGCCTTCCCAGACCCCAACCTGGGAAAATCCACTCTCCTTCCTGATTTTGTTTTTCATATTGTCTGAGACTGTAGAGTTTTGCTTGGCCTCCGCAGCAGGCCAATGTGACCTCCTCCCGATCTGTGATGTCCCCTGTCCAGCCTGGATCAGACAAGCATCCGCAGCACCACTGGGCTTCCCTGGTGCTCAACAAATATTTGTGAAGCTGAGTTCTCCAAATCTATTTCTCCATTTCTGTATTTCCTGTTTTCCTTAGCACCTTAATAATTGCTCTTTTTTTCCTTTTAATGGTAAGCTTGCATCAGTGAAAGTTTTCCTTTCTTTTTCTTTCTTTCTGTGGTGGTTTTTTTTTTTTGGTACCAGGAATTGAACTCAGGACCCTGCACTTACCAGGCAGGCGCTTGTGCCACTGAGCTATATCGTGGGCCCAAGTTTTCCTTTCTTTAAACTTTTTTTTTTCTGAATCTAAAATAGTAGGTATGAATTTCAGAGAAGTTGGGAAGTGACAAAGGAGAGAAATACAAAGTTCCTTTGGACTGTCCTACCCCAGTGTGTCTTGGCCATGCCTCTACCAACATTTGGGGAGAGACTCCTGGGAGCTGTCCCGATTACTGTAGGGTGTAGGCGGTACCCCAGGCTCTGCTTACTAGATGCCATTAGACCCTCCCTCAGTGTGACAACCAAAAATTCAAACATTGTCCCATGTCTGTCTCTGGGGGCCAAAATTGTCCCCAGCCAAGAATCACTGCTATGTTCCCACCAGAATCATCCTTTGGCCTGTTGGTATGTCTCTCTCAGGAATGGAATCTTCTACCCGTTGCTCAGAAGTGATGGGCCCAGGGTCCAGGCAGGTTAGCAAGGAGAACACAGTGGTGGGGTGGTGTAGGGGACAGCCCAGCTGCCAGGCAGAAGCTCAGACTGATGGTAGGAGTGCCATCCTCTTGCTTGGAGCCAAAGCAAGCCCAGATTGAAATCCTTCCTTCTTCAACAAGATCTTGAGGACCATTTTACCAAATCCCACAGTGAAGTCAGCATGATGGCATTTTAGTGACCTTTGTGCAAGAACTGTGTTGCCTAACAGCTGGCCGAACTAGACATCAAACCACTGTTCGTGATTTCCAGCAAAACAAAGTGTCCCTACAAAGAGTAAAGCTTCACCCAGTGAAACGATCTGGAGGAACGTGCTCCTCGCAGCAAAGCTAAGTCCAGGGAGGAGGCCCAAGACCTCCTGGCCAGTGGCGGGCTGCCCTCACAATCCAGATCCACACAGTCCTACCCCCAGGCTGCGCTGCGGTCAGAGCAGCTGAAGGCTATTCCAGCATGACTCAGGCCTTGCCTTTCCCTCGCTCTGTGAATATGAGCCCAATCCCACACTAACTGTCCTCTTATTTCTCCCACCAGGGCCCCAGGACCCACAGTGCAGCTCCGCTGCCCTCTTCTCAACCCATCTCATCTACCTCCACCTTGACCTCCCCCCAACAAGAAGGAACCCCTGTTTACAGGAAGAGGAATTCAGCAAGTCACAGGACCTGGAGGAGGGCAGGAAGTCTGAGGACACTTCCGGGCAGATAGCTTTCATTCCTTCACCCCTTCTGCAGACATGTGGTGAGTCCTGGAAGGAGAGAGTATTCATCCACAGGTCCAAGTTTCCTTACATGTGTTTAAAATCGGTCCTATTGTTTTTTGGCTCACATGCACATGGCCATGCTGGGATGTTGACATTGACTCCTAGAGTGCAGGGACCACCTCCTTGGGTTTTGCCTCGATGCCCTACCCAGCCCCAGTGCCATTTGACAAAAGCGTTCTGTAAAGACTGTTTTCTTTCTTTAATCCTCATGGGGTAAGTAGTTGTTCTGAGAGGCGAGAAGCCTATAATCTCTTTGAATTGAAAGGAGCCCCGAAGGCAAGTCTGAGCTGCCCTCTGAGCTGGCAAGTTAACCCGGGCATGGTTTACTAAATCCTCCTGATTTGCATGGCATTGTGCAAGAGATAGAAAGGAAGTGATTCAACCAGCAGTTAACTATATTCCCTGACCTCAAGAACATTACAGTCCAGAGGGGGAACCAGACATGCACTCAGTTATAGCTCAAGATTGAATGGCCAGAGATGGGTCACAGTGGGGGAGCAGACAGGGTATAGCTCAGCAGGACAGCACTGGCCTAGCTTGTGTGAGAACCTGGGTTCCATGGCCACCACCACAAAAAATTTTTTAAAAATTCAAAGTTGAAGCTGCTGATTACACCAGCCATTTTTGAAGCCCTGGACAGTGACACACAGTACATGGCTACCATATTGGAAAGTATAAAACAGAACATTTCATTTGCTGCAGCAACTTCTGTTGAACGGCTCTCTTCCAGATTAAAATGAAGTGAGAGGCGGGAAGAAGTAGGAGCTGTGAAGCACAGCACGCCAGCAAACTGGGAGTCATTCAGATGCCTTCCTCCCCTGCATCCGGCACATCTAATCTACCTCCAGCCTTCTCAATAGCTCCTGACTGTCACCTCTCCTTCCTACCACTGGCCTGCATCAGATGCTTTCCAGGGGCTCTGACCATCTCTTAGAACTCAGCCACCCAAAGCAAATACGTTTGCTTGGCTTTTCTAGAACTTGGCCAACACCCTCAAAGATTTACATGCACCTCAAAAGGAAGCTTGTCAGAGAGCAGGACTTTATCCCACATTTCATGGCCTGGAGGTCACGAGGGCCATTTCGCTCTGCATCAAAACGGTCCTACTTTCAACAGAGCACCACTGACTCTCCCGTATCAATCCCTTCTCACCCCTGCCTGGCCCTCTCTGCTTCCTGAAGCCCCCTCCCCCACTGGGGAAGCCTGGGTCTGCTCACTCTCTGCCATGATGCCTGGTGGGGTTCT